TTGATATAAATTTTCTTGTTCTGTTAACAAGTTTGAAATGGGCTGTTGTTACCTGCAAACTTATAGGTAGTCTACTTTGTATTTAGTGACAATCATAATAACATCTAATGTTTACTGAGCACACACTGTGTCAGGCATTGTCTCAGTGACTCCCAGGTTTTAGCTCACTGGATATTCGTTGTTTACAAACATCATATATTGTTGTTCTAAACATTACCCGCTGTTACAATTTAGTTTACAAATAACTGTCAGCCTAAACAAACAGCTCTGGCATTGCCTAAATTCAAATTGGCTGAGTTTATTTGTGTTCCAGTTGATTGAAAAAATTCTAAGCCACTGATAACACAAGTCAGGATAGCCGCTCTTCAAGTGGAATAACAGTGCTCACAGTTAAAACATATCACATAGTACACACCTTTGTATTTGTTTTAAGTAAATACCTGGCCATGTTCAGTTCAACTCATTCTCCAAAAATAAAATCCCCCAAACTTTAGTTTCCTTCTAAAACAAGGGCAGAAAATAAATGCCCATTTACATTACATAGTTTCTTTTTTTATGTTTTATTTTTATTTTTTAACGTCTTTATTGGATTATAATTGTTTTACAATGTTGTGTTAGTTTCTACTGTACAACAAAGTGAATCAGCTATATGTATACATGTATCCCCTCCCTCTTGAGCTTCCCTCCTACCCTCCCCCATTACATAGTTTTTAAAAACCCACATTGGTGTGAGTGAAGCAGATACACATGCAGTGATCAGATATTCTGAGTTCCTGGATGAGGTTGGGACCGTATTTCCTGAGGTTTGGAAAGAGATGGGAAGTTTGTTCAGGGTCCCCAAGGCGACTGCACAGTTGGCCGAACAGTAGGACCACCCCGTGACGGGCAGGGCCCCTTTGGGGACTGGACACGCGCCTCTGTGCCCCCGGGGCTGTCAGTGGGAGTTACTGGTGAGTCATCGAGCAGGATTGCCCTTGGGCACCTGGCTTCTGGGTGATCCATTATCTGTGCTGCCGCTTCTTTCCACACTTCCAATCAACGGGAGGACGCAGAGCCCATTCCCACATGTTAGACAGTCACGTTTCACCCTTGGAAGAGGCAAGTGAATGGGGTCCCCATGGCGCAGCCGGGCAGCACATGGGATTCAGGGAGTGGAGGGTGGTGTCAGCAGAGTGAAGCTGCAGATCTGCACATCGTGGACCCAAGTCACTTTGACCAATATCCAGCTGCTGTGTTTCGATGGATTGATCACAATCAGCTGTCCCAACCCCCAGCAGACCCAGCAGGTCCAGGAACATCCTCTTCCCTGCCCTTCTTAGCGAAGTTCACAGCAGTTTTGGACACTGAGGTGTGAGGTGCACGCAGCCCACCCTCCCTCCCCTCCATCTGTTCCCTGGGCACCGCCCCCCCCCACCAGCCCTCTGAGCCTCCCAGCTTTGACCTTGCTCTTTTCTCTCCCTACCCTTTGTCCTTTGGACTTGATGCTTGGTCCATTTTCTTACAAACCATGTTTCTTTCTTTGTTCCGTCACCATGTTGCCTTATGCCACGTCAGGGGAGCAGCCCTGGGACTCTCCCTTCCAGTAAGGCTCCAGGGGTGGTTCTACCCACTCTCCCTCTTCCCAATATTCTTTTCTCTCCCCCTCCCCCCAGTTCAACTCCAGGCCTCACCACTTACCAGCTAGGCTGTTTGCAAGTTACCTTTCCCATCTGACTCTGTTTCTTTTTTTTTTTTTTTTTTTTGCGGTTCGCGGGCCTCTCACCGTTGTGGCCTCTCCCGTTGCGGAGCACAGGCTCCGGACGCACAGGCTCAGCGGCCATGGCTCACGGGCCCAGCCGCTCCGCGGCATGTGGGATCTTCCCGGACCGGGGCACGAACCCGTGTCCCCTGCATCGGCAGGCGGACTCTCAACCACTGCACCACCAGAGAAGCCCCTGATTCTGTTTCTTTTATAAATGGGGTCCTTTTTTGTGAGTCCCTTTCTCACAAGGCTGTTGTGAGATTTATGGATTATGTTACACCAGGGGTTGTGAGGAGAGGGAAAGGGGAATTCTTGTTTAATGGGCACAAATGTTCAGTTTGGGAAGATGAAACGTTCTGGAGATGGATGGCAGCACGTCATTGTAAATATATTTATATATCCCATCACATCTTAGTACTCAGATCGCAACTAGCTAATTCTAGAAATGGGCAGCCCTCCCCCTTTCTGTCCCCCATCTTGGTCTCTAATCGCAGGTCGTGACGACCTGTCCCCCACCCCCTTGTCCCAGCCCCACCCTCTTATCAGTCAGTCAGGGGGACTCACAGAGCACTCGGCTTCCCCAGCAGCGGAGGACCGCTCACTGGCTGCCATCACCATGGCAACTCACTGCCTCCTCCCCCCCTCCCCTCACTTTCCAGAGCCGACAGATTTGTGGAGTTCCAGACTTCTCAGGGCTGGGAGGGAAGAAGAAAGAGACTGGGGGAGGGGAGAGAAGCTCCCTTGACTGCAGAGGTAGCCACAGGGTTCAGGTTGGCTTGGAAACCCGATCCCAGCCAGGTATGCAGTGTGGCCTCTGTTGTCCCCGCCTGTTGAGGAAACCTTTTAGGTATCCCTAGGCACTCCCGATTCCCTCTGAGATGGGCCAGTGTGGGGCCCGAGGGTGATGGGCTAGTGGCGTGTGGCATGCACGGTAGGTAAGCGTGATGTTCAAACAGAAGATGGGTCTCTTCTGCTGCTCTTGCAGCACTGCTGGTTCTATCTATGATTACACGATAGAACCAGTGGCGATGAGCTTTGCAAATGCCAAAGGCTGTCGGGGGGCGTTCGTTATTCTGGCCACTCCCAGTGTGGTTGGCCAGAGCGGAGCAGCCTAATGAAAGGTCTCCCCTCCTGAAGTGAAGTGGGGGGCTTGGTGATACATGTCCACATGGGACCTCCTGGAGGACAACACAGGGGCAGTGGGCACAAGATGCTAACCAGTGAGTCCCAGCTGTGGGGTGCAGCCCGGGGGTCAGCGCCAGGTCTCGAGAACCTACCTTTTCCCCAGCTCACCTGCAGAATCAACACATCCATGTCTTATACATGCAGGACCTGCGACATGTAGATAAATGCTCATTGGTACTCTTGTAGTTAGAAAAAATAATTTCAAAGCATGGGCTGAATTCGAGGTAACTTTTTGTCATGATGTGCGTCCTCAGTCAGCAGGGCTGTGGTGGTAGAAGGTGAGGGTCGGTGAAATTGATGGCGGTTGAACAAACCCTCCTTTAAAAGGGTGAGGGCATGGAATTTGGACCCAGGCTACAAGGTGGATGGACCTTGAGGACATTCTGCTGAGTGAAGCAAGCCAGACACAAAAGGACAAATACCGTATGATTCCACCTACATGAGGTAATACATGAGGTAATGAGTTTGCTGGAATAGGCAGATTCACTGAGACAAAAAATAGATTAGAGCTTACTGGAGGTTGTGAGGAGAGGGAAAGGGGAGTTAGTGTTTAATGGAGACGGAGTTTCAGTTCGGGAAGATGAAAAAATTCCTAAGATGGGGGGCAGGGTGATGGGAGCACAGCACTGTGAATGTACTTAATGCCACTGAACGGCACACTTAAAAATGTGAAAAGGGATTTCCCTGGTGACATAGCGGTTGAGAGTCCGCCTGCCAATGCAGGGGACACGGGTTCGTGCCCCAGTCCAGGAAGATCCCACATGCCGTGGAGCAACTAAGCCCGTGCGCCACAACTACTGAGCCTGCGCTCTAGAGCCCACGAGCCACAACTACGGAGCCCGCATGCCACAACTACTGAAGCCTCCGTGCCTAGAGCCCGTGCTCCACAACAAGAGAAGTCACCACAACGAGAGGCCCGCGCACTGTAACGAAGAGTAGCCCTTGCTCGCCACAACTAGAGAAAGCCTGCACGCAGCAATGAAGACCCAACACAGCCATAAATAAATTTATTTTAAAAAATGGTCGAAATGGTAAATTTTATGTTATGTGTATTTTACCACAATAACAAAAATCACCCCCCGCAAAAAAGCGGGGAGGCAAGGCTGGTTGGTGGCCAGGTGGCTGGCTATTCCTGCCGTGGAGGTGGGGGGACGCAGAGCTCCCTTAAGAAGGCTTTGATGGGGAGCAGTGTTCTGCAGCGCTCCACAGACCTCTGCGCCCCTAACTGCCTCACTCTGCCACCTTCAGCCAACTGGCTGAGGGTGGGCAGGCTGAGAGGTTTGTGTCCTGGGCTCCCTGCCCCCGTTTGCTGAAGCCACCACGGATGACCTGTCACCTCCCTGTAGGGTTCCATCTCATTTAGGAATCACCAGGGTGGTGATGACTTTGAGCTTCAGTCATGGTCTCCCTTCCTCTGGAAGGTGCAGGTGGGCGAGGTGGGCTGTGAGGACCCACCAGTGCTGGCCAAGTGGCCACAGCAAATGTGTGGGCCATGTGCCAGCCAGGTGACGAGAAGGAAGCGTTGTTCTCCTGGGACCCCCGTGCCATGCCCACACCAGCTCCAGGGCCCGGGGTACCTGCAGCCCCTCCTTGCCTTCTGATTCACTGTTCAAACCCACCAGCCCTTCTGACAGAGCTAGAAGCAGACACCAAGCCCTCCAGGGAGCTATTTTTAGGGTTCATCTGTTCTTTCTGATTTCTCCTCTAGATTCCATATTCTCCCACCCCCAGATCCAAAAAAGCTAAAGAATCTGGCAATCATTCATCATTCCCTCTGTCTAGGTGCTCTTTCTTCACTGGGCAGCTCGGTTTGCAAGCTGGGCTCTCACCCTCACCTTCCCGTACCACTCCCTCTTTCTTTCTTCATCCCCACCCTCACCCTCTGGTTCACCAGCTCCAGAGGCAGCACAGAAAGCAAGCTATTTGTCTGACATCATCTTCTACTCCCCGGCCTGCTAAGAGTTACTCACTCAGGCAATCCCTGCTCCGCCAGAGGAGACTGTCCAATTGCCAAGCAACCCACTGTTGGCCAATCACGGAGCTTGGAGGTGATGTCATGGCAAGAGCTGAGCAGTGGTGCTGATGTGGAGAGAAGCCCAGGGTACCACTAATTGAGGGAGTGAAGAAGGGAGCAGCTCACTTCTAACTGGACTGCAGGTAAGTAGAAATAGAATGCAAATTATTTGAGGCTTTTCAGACAAAAGAAAACAAAAACAAAACCCAGCAGCTGCAGAGAGGAGAAGTAAGGAGTCTGGCACCTATTGTGTTGCCTTTCGGTTTCACTCGATTAAACTTTGTCAAATCCTGGTGGAAACGGGGCGAGGTGAAAAGGATGGTGCCTGGCAGAGGGGCGAGGGTGGGCTCCAGGTGTTTCTTCTATCCTGGAGCTCAGGGGACAGAGGATGGGTGGGAATCAGATCGGATGTCCACGGTGAGTTCTTTCCGCATAAAAACGTTTTGTTGCTGAGGCAGAAAGGTTTTGTTCAGAGTCTGGCTTTCCCCGGAGCGGCTCAGGCCCACCAGAGCGCTTTCAAGCTGGAAGCTGCCCTGTGGTTTACATTGCCTTTCTCAGCCACAGCTGTTCTGTCTCCTTTTCCCATTTGCATCATCCTTTGCTTTCTCCTCTGTCTGCACTGGGTTACTTTTTTCTCTTGGTTCTAAGGGTACAATGAGATCACCATCTCTTCTCGCTCCGCCCCACCCTGAGGTCAACCTGGTCCTACCTGGGCAGGGATGGCTGGCTGTAATGCTGCGAACTGCTGGAACCCACACCTGCCACACCCTGGTCCCTGCCTGTGACCCAGCCGCCCACCCCTGGCTCTAAGCCCGCCGCCCTGCCCAGGAGTTTAGGCATTGTCCCCACCTCATCCCCAGGAACCAGGGATTTGACAGCCAGTGGCCAGCTCTGTCCCCACGTGGTGGTGCTGCCTTTGTTTTATTCCTCTTGGAAGGCACGGTCAGGTGTGAAGGAGTCTCATTGTCCTGAAAAGGGCAGGTCTCCAGGACCCTCTTGGGTGGCTCAGAAATATCCAGGCAGCACGTGTCGAAATACCTTGTGCAGGGACCCCCGTGTCTCAAGACCAAGAGAATAGTGGGGGGGGGGGGGGGGCAGCCAGCAGGGTAGCCTGCAGGAGGCCTGCGGGGTGGATGGGAGGTTGAGAGGGGATGCGGGGGAATCTGTCTCCACTGAGGCTGAGGCTCCCTCTAGGGGGAGGAAGCCTCTCCCACAGGCAGGGAGGCAGGGGGCCGGGGTGGGGGGCGGGGATGAGATCATCTTTCAGATAAGGAGATAATCTTAGCGCTAGAGCCAGCCGTGAGTGGGCAGAGGGGAAAGGTCTGATCCACAGCTCCACAGAACAGAGCTGGAGTTGCCCGGAGACCCTGCCCCACCCTCTAGGGTCAGCCAGACCCCCTCTCCTCAGCTGGCACCACACCCTCACCTTGCCACTGGGAACGATTCTTCCGCCCCTCCTTGAAGCCCACTTATCACTGCCAGAGCCAGAGCACCTGTCAGCAGGTCCCGGCCCTTCTGGGATCCCCAGCTTCACCTAGGCTGCCTGGGGAACAGGTTTGAAGTGGGCAAGGATCCTCAACTGCTGGATGGATCCGCCACAGAGCACTGTAGGGAGTGAGCTCCCCATCGCTGAAGCCGTCCAAGCAGAAGTTGGATGACCACCCAGCAGGGTAGCTGTAGAGGAGATTTCTGTGTTGTGTTGGAGACTGGACTGGATTAGTGTTTTTCAAACTGCAGGCTGAGACCTGTTAGTGGATTGTGAAATCAATTTTGTGGGTTGTGGCTGGTATTTTTTTTAGATAAAATGGGATAAAGTAGAGAAGAAAAAAGTCAAAATGCATCTCATATAGTAATGTTTCCTATACCATTTTTAGTTATATATTCTCAGTTATGTTAAATATAAATATATTATGTTTATAAATATATTTAATAAGAGTGTTATATTTATAAATAAATATGAATATATTTATGTTTATATTTCAGCTATATATAGGTGTATGTATATATATGTATGTACAGTTATATATGTGTGTATATATGTATATATATGTATGTACATATATATACACATATACATATATATGTCAGTATCGTGACATATACCTACTGGATCATGATATAAAATGTAGGTCTTTATTGCGGATTTCAGTAAGAAAAAGGATTGAGAGACATTGGGCTAAGTAACCTCTAATTACTTTTCCTAACTATAAGACTGTACACCTATGGATAACTCTTATTAGACTGTGAAGTTCATTTAAAATTTAAAAAGATTTTTGACTGTGGTAAAATACATATAATGTGAAATTTACCAGTTTAGCCACTTTTAAGTGTATCGTTCAGTGATATTAAGTGTTTCACATTGCTGTGCAACCATCACCACCATTCATCTCCAGAACTTTTTCACTTTCCCAAACTGAAACTCTGCCCCCACTAAACAATAACTCACCATTCTTCTCACCCACGCAGTCCCTGGCTACCCCCATTCTACTTTCTGTCTATGAATCTTACTCTAGGTCCCTCATATAAGTGGAATCATAGTGTTTGTCTTTTTGTGACTGGCTCATTTCACTTAGCTGAATGTCCTCAAGGTTCATCCATGTCATAGACTGTGAACTTCTTACAAGGAGGACTGTTTTGTTCATAAGTGTCCCATGTACAAAATAAGTGCCCAGAGTCCAAGTGTTGTTTTAAATGGAAAACTGTGTCTCTTTAAGGAGAGACTTTGTTCTAAAGGACCCATCAAAGTCAGAGAAGTCTGGTCTAATATCGTCCCTCTTGAGCAGATTTTTGGACAGACATGTTATTGCTGGTGCGGTAGCGGGAGTGTCTTTGCATTTTTTGCTTCCTTATGTATATCTCATTATGGCTCAATCATAGAAATCCTAGGGCGAAGGGAGATTAGCTGCCTTCTCTCATACAACGAGGCCGCTTTAACCACATTTTCCCTGTGGGACGGAAGCAGGCTGACTGACAAGATTTAAAATAGAGCAATCAAGCCATAAACTGAGATGCAGAGAGCGAGGTCGTGGAACAGGAAACAAGGACATGGCAAAGAAGGAGGGTAAGAGAGAGCTAAAGCGAGACTGTCTACATGAAACCAACCATGTCGAATGGGAAAGTTCAGATCTTTTGTGTTCTTGATTTTAAACAATTGGATATCTAAAAAATCAAGAGCATAACCAAAGAAAGGCTTCATTTTTCCTGAACCCCTAAGATCCTCTCTCCAGACCCCCCTGATATCTCCGTATTATTTCCTACTTATCTGGAGAGTATCATTTGGAGATCCAGAATTCCCAGAGATTTTGAAATCATGAGTAGGTAGACAGTTTGGGGGGTGGGGTGGGAAGGAGGATAGAAATTTGGAGGAAAATTCTAAAACATGCAATATGTAATTTTTATAATGCCGTGTAGGGAACCAAACTCTCTCCTTCCCCATCCCACCCCCCTCCCCTTTTATTTTGGCTTGAGAAATAAACATACATCATGTATAATCTAATTTGCTTATTAAATTAGAACTTGCTATATTTAGAGATGTGATAGTCTTGGAAAAGTTTACTTTTTCTGCTTTTCTTTGGGGAAGTGTAAGGACCAAAGAAAAAAAAAATCTCCCCTGACATTTTAAAAAGCATTTTTCAGCGTTTTACATTTCTGGTCCCACGAGGAAGACAGGGAGACACACAGATAAAGGTACACCACCCCTGCCTTCTCACACACACCTATCTTGCTTCCTCAGCAAAGCTCGCTGGTTTTTTCCATCAATCCAGACCGATCATTGTGTGTCTACTCTCTCAGGGTCCTGCTGTCCATGGTGGGTGGTGAGAGGCAAGAGGACAGAACAGAAGGGGCAGGCATCTGGCGGGGTGGCCTAATTTATGACAGGGCACAGGCAACCTGAGAGTTCAGAGAACAAACAAGTGAATATGTGAGTACAGAGAAAAGAGCTGAGCGCAGACTCTGGGGTAAAAGACCTGGCGGGGAGGGGGATGGGCAGAGTGCAGAGTTAACAGTGGATCATTTGGGTGTCGGTGCCCAGAAATCCAGACCAGGTAGGGAGCAAGGTTCAGACTGAGTATGTGGAAATAGGTGGATAGACTCGGTCTGCTGACGGCCCAAACACAACTGGGCTATAGATCCCAGGACAGGTCTGTCTGTTTCCTAAACCTGCCACGAAACCAGATATGTATGGACTCAACAAAGATTCCATGAGTCCCTCCTGGAAAAAAAACTACTTCATAAGTAGTCTAGCTAATCAAAAAGTTTTATCAAATTAAAGAACTCAAGTACAAAAAAGACGGGCTATTGATAATGATCACCAAGAAAGAAAACACTAGAATTTAGTCATTGTCTAATTATAATCAACACGTTCATAAAGCTGAATGCAAATGTCAAATATCTTGAGGCTGGGGAATAGATCTATTAAATTCATCATTGTATTTCTCCTTAGTACCTCACCTAGTGCATATAGTAGGTTCTTCATAAATATTTGTTGAATGAATAATGCAAGAAAGAAATCAATAATGATACTCCAGAACTGAAAATCCAAGTCATTGTGACAAAATCATGTTTGTAGGGAAAGGAAGCAAAAGTATGCTAAAACTCTTATCTCATAAAGAAAATTATTAGATTTCTTAGTTTTATTCTTCATGTAATGAAATTTACATGCATACCTCACTTTATTGTGCTTCAGAGATATTGCTTTTTTTTTACACACTGAAGGTTTGTGGCAAGCCTGTGTTGTCAGATGATGGGTAATTATTACTTAACAATAAGTATTTTTTAGACATAATGCTATTGCACATTTAATAGACTACAGGATAGTGTAAACATAACTTTTATATGCACCGGGAAACCAAAAAATTCATGTGACTTGTTTTATTGCGACATTCGCTTTGCTGTGGTGGTCTGGAACTGAACCCGCTATGTCTCCAAGGTCTGCCTGTAGACATAAACGATTTTAACTTAAAGATAAAAGCAAGATGTAAAACTTACAAAGCACTGGAGAAGAATGAAAGAACAAAGAAATAAGAGTAATATTGCAAAAGAGAAGGGTCTCGCTTTAAGGTAGCTAAATGTTGGGCCAGAAACAAGGCTTTGCTCCTTCGACTTAATCTTGGGAACGACACTGGACCTCTTGGGCCCTCTG